TACATACATGTCATGTCCTTTTAGTCTGACAAATGTAAGCATGTATTTGGTGGGTATGTAATTCTCTGATGGAGAGAAAAACAAGTAGCAAGACAGGTGAGAATGGACAACAGCTCAATAAGCCTGCCCTTCGGTGGGTCCCCGCTCAGATCTCAAGCTGGTTTTAGCTCAACTTGTGCCATTACAGAGAGAACATATCTGAAGCATATAAGACTGGTCCCACCCGTACGGGCAGTCCAGATCCGAAATGCCAGCAAGTTCCCTCTGCACAAGAAATACGGCAACCCCAGATGATCGTTTCAACCTTGTAAGGTATCATCAGTGAGGTATAGCCAATATCCCTTAGGCACCGTGAGCAAGGGGTCCATGTCTGAATTGCTCTTTAAACTTAGGAGAGAAAAACAAGTAGCAAGAGAGGTGAGAACGGACAACATCTCAATTAGCCTGCCCTTCCGTGTGTGTCTGCTGCGATCTCAAGCTGGTTTTAGCTCAACTTGTGCCATTACAAAGATAACATATCTGTAGCATATCAGACTGGTCCCTCCCTTACGGGCAGTCCAGATCTGAAATGCCAGCAAGTTCCCTCTGCACGAGAGATACGGCAACCCCAGACGATCGTTTCAACTTTGTAAGGTATCATCAGTGAGGTATATAGTTGAGCTAAAACCAGCTTGAGATCTAATTGGGGACCCACCGAAGGACAGGCTAATTGAGCTGTTGTCCGTTTTCACCTCTCTTGATACTTGTTTTTCTCTAATGTATTTCACTGATATTGCAATGTTTACGTTGTCAATTGGTATGAATGTAGTGTCATTAGTTAATAGGAACATTAGCGTAATTCATACAGTATTTCAATATTCAGGTTTTATTATATGCATGGGAAAAAATTATAAATGATCGGCTCACTACCACATCAGAGCAGAGTGAACAGTCCTTCAACAAACCACACTATTGCTGACCTTGTTTTTGTATCTATAATTAAAAAGGCTCTTCAGCAGATAAATATTGTAGTAACACTATTATATATCTAAATAGTACAAACAAAAAAAAAGAAGAGAAAAGTTGCATCTCTTTTTACACTTCCTGTGGTATTGTGTGCACTTCTAGATTCTCTGAAATAGAATATTCTACTATGGAATTTTAATATATATTGTTTCTAACAAGAAAGCATTTGCAGTGCACCTCAATCAAATATTTTCTATTGGTAGTTTGCATACTATTCTGGGTAATCTCCTTACGTTTTATTCCATTAAAATATTTGTTTGTTTTTTTATTGCATTTTTAGGGACTTATCTGTATTAAACATGCCTTTTGGCATATGTCAGACTCTGGTATTTAGGTAGTGTATGGGTTACCCAGATCTCCATAGCTCCATAGGGCTGAAGCCCTGCCTACCATATCACTGCTAATCAGAAACACACAAACTGGGTAATATCTTGATTTGTCCATAAACCTGTTTATATATATATATATATATATATATATATATATATATATATATATGTTTGGGTTTTTTTTTATGGACAATATGTATTTATTCTTTATTTTTGGTGTGCTCATATAACAATACAAGTTTGCCTTGCCACAACAGCATTAACAAGCATTTTTAGGGCACATAATGGAAAACATCGGTGTGGCATTACAAGAATCTGCACAGATTTTATAACAATACTTAAAGAAACAGACTACGGTAGGTATGCACGAGGAAACAACTATAAAAGAAACATGTTGGGTATGCACGAGTAATCAGTGATAAAGTAAATAAGCTTGTTATGCAGAAGTAGAGAACTAGTAATTATACCACCCCAAAAAACTGCAGGGACATAAAGGGAACATCCAATTTATCAAGCATGAGGACATTAAGCATCAGAATATAACAAGATTAGGAATAGAATAATGTTGAGCGTGCTGCAATAGGTATCTATAAGTCGTGGTCAAACATGCAGTGAGAGTCACAGCCAAAGTCTATTCCTGTCATGAAACAGTCCCATCCAATATTGCCTATCTGCAGATCCAGTGCCAAGGAAGGTCAAATATTCCTGATGGTGAGTCAGGCGTGTTAGGGTGGGTCAGGCGTGTAGCATTATGCGTTTCACTTCGTGCTCCAGCCCATCAGTGATACCCTTGACCTGGAATTAAGTTTCCTCGCTGCAGCATATGCCTGTGCGGCGCTCTCACTTGTCGGTCACAGGGACTTCAGAGCTGCTGCACACATGCACTGCAATGTCTGCCAGAATTCTAAAAAAGGGAGTCCAGTCGAAGCACAATCTTGGGCCTCTACTCCATGTGAATCCTGGAGCATGTGGCCTTTGCCATATTGTGAGCGCATATTGGAGTCTCGGCAACAACACAAGCCTCTTGCAGAGATAAACCCCGCCGATCCGTTGGAGGGGGGGTCAGCAGGGCTTTGGTTTCTGGAGTCAGCAAACGTCGGGCTGGGAGATGGCTGCCTCTCCACTCCACAACGCCTGCTAGATCTTGTTCACGAGAGGCAAGAATCACCGCAGGCGACCATGGAAAGCAACCCAAGCCACTCTGTCTATGCAGTAGGGCAAACTGTCCCTGCCAGCACAAAGTAATTGGCCCAAGATACCGGTGACTGGACTAAATCACCAGTATCAGCAGGAGCTCTTATATAACATGTCTGGTCGCCATCACAGTCAGGCCCCGCCTTATTTTCCTTTTTAGGTAGACGTTGTTTTGTCTGTTTCAGTTATATATAAAAGTATGTTGTATATAGGCAAATTAGTTTACAACTCATTTGTACAGATCTAGGTTTATTACAGTTATCCACATATCGAAGGTTAATGAGGAATTTACTCTGCTGCCCTCTTATATGATCTTTGAAAGATTCTCTTTGCATAAATCTACATTGATATTAGCATTAAGGATGAACTAACCACACTGCACATGCAAGTCTATTCATTAAACTCCAAATCTGGAGCTATGACTATGGCTAGGTTGGAGAATTTTTCAAGATTATGTCTATTTTTGTCTTAGTTTTTCCATTTGAATTTAATTAGCAACAATTCTTTTTGTGAATTACCCTGTTTTCATTGTAATGAAGCTTCCTGCAGCTCAATAGCTTTTATTTGATGTGGTTTTTTTTAAGCGTTATCGATATTGTTCAATCTGGAAATGGTTAACCTTTATATAAAGGAAGAAATAGCTCCTGATAAAAAATAAAGCTATGATCTGTCCATGCAGAAAAATCTAATCTGGGCTCTTCACTAAACACTGGATTGTATCTGGGTGGATAAAATCCTGTGAAAATGGAATGGAATGGAAATTCTCATATTTACTCAAGCCAAAGCCAGTCGGAATTTGGTTGGTACGACCAGATTTGCAGCAATCGCCTGGATATTCTGATATTTGGAATATAATCAGTGCTTTTGCATCTGAACCCTATACAGAATTCAGTTTTACCAAATAATGTAACCAACTGCATCCAGTAGGATGCACATTCGCAAATTATCGTTCGTTTTTTGGAAGTGCATGATAATTTCAAGTACTATTAGCCCATTGGCAGCACTAGCAGCCAGCAGGCAAATAGTTAAATGGCACTGCAAAGGTTAACCATATTGCAGATGGCCAGTGCTAGCTAGCAAGATGCTACATTAAAAAAAAAAAAAGAAAGAACTATGGGGTCAATAATACCCAACATACCATGCAGCAGTTGGGAGGCATATCTACTAAATGTTTAAACCTAGCAATTTGGTAGCCATTGCTGTTTCTAAAAAGGCCCCATCCCATGAGGATAATGCATTTAAAATAACGGGGGGGCATTGGATGGGGGATTTTAAGTTAAGTATCGGTGGGTGGACAGATCATTGGCGGTGTGTGGGGGCTTTAATGACAATATACAAGGAACCTAGTATTCCCAGCCCCCCAACATTGCAGGCAGGTATGGACTCTAATAATATATAGGGAGGACTAGTGTCCCCCACCACCAGTGGGTGGTGCTCTTAAGTAATTATACAAATGTTCAGCTTTGGTGGTATAGGGGATATAGGGGTGGGCATTATGCCACCAAAGCTGAACATATAGAGTAGTTTGTACTGCTCTGGAAAATGTACAAGGTAGTAACCTTCTACATATTTATATAGAGAGCACTATGTTGCACTTTTAACTTTATTGTATGGTCTTAATGCCCACCATACCAAAAGTGAGGACAGCAGTCGATATTTCTGTATATCCAGAAGTGGGGATCTATACCACTGCAGGCTGGTTTGACCTGAGCTGGTCATAGCTCTATTTCATGTGAATTTAATACCATATTTTTTAGTGTTATATGTGTCCCATTTTTAGACTCACTGCATTATTGGACACTCTTTTGCTTTCTGTTTTATTTTATGTGTATCAACTAACATGAGGAATCATAAGAAGTCATAAAACCTATTTTTTTGAAGAAAAGAACATCTTCATTATAAGGACTCTTTTGTTTTAAATATTTATTTTTATTTGCTTTTACCGTGTGTCATTCCTTCTGTACCACTCTTTTTTGTCCATTTTTACATATAGTTTTTATTTGTATCATTGGCTTATTTGGCGCTACCTGTTCCTCTGTTATAGATATATCTATAGCTACATTTGAAAACATACTTAACGTACAAATGCACTCATGTATATCCATATACATACAATGGATGAATAAGACACAGACGGGTGGACACACTCAGTGGCGTTCGACACAAGAAAGGTTGGATTAACGGGGTTACATGGTGATTGGGTAAATTTAACATATTTTGAATATTTTATGATATATATTTCACTTGTTTAATTTTTGTGGCATCTTGATAAAGACCGCTTGACGGTCGAAAAGTTGATTTACTTTTTTGCTCATGATTTAATATAAGATTTATCACAAATCCAGTGAGTGCTCTCATTTTTTCTGATTACATATTTGAACACTGAGATTGCACCCTGGTCAATTTTTTGAATTTGTTTGAAGTCACATGGGAAGAGTGCCAGAATTTTGGATATTTTTATATATATATATATATATATATATATATGATATAGGTTTGTGTGTGTGTATATATATATACACACACACACAAACCTATATCATACCTCCTTCCTACATTTACATACTTATCCACACACATGAACATAAATATCTCATATGCAGTCAGACAGACTCATATTTCCACAAGCATACTCACATAAAACAGAATCTGTCACTTACTAAATTTCACCCAAAAAAGTTATAGCTCCCTAAAAGTTGATTGTGCTAAAATATTTAAAAACTTATTTATAGTTTATATAATTTTAATTTAGATGCTTTAATGGTCAAAGTCTAGTTAAGTATGCGAGTTAATAATAGAGAGGACTTGAAAACAGGTCTGCAAGGAGGCACACCTGGTTCCAGTCCTATTACCCTAATGGAAATTACTGAGTAAAGGTAATTGGCATATAGTGCCTAATTTACATATGCATAGAAAATAAAAAACTTTATTGTCCAATACTGGATAAACACATCTAAATATCCCAGACACCAAAAAAAAGTGAAAAAATAATAATAATGAAAAAAGGAGTAGATAGTAAGTATAAAAATAGGACCAACTGCTGGAGCTAATGTGTACAAAGTGTACTAATTAAAAAATAGCCAGGTAGTGATACTGATTAAGTGGAAACAGTATCTGAGGGGAGATATACAGTATATAAATAGGTAGATACAATAAGGTAACCCTGGTCGTACTGGCCAAGTGGCAACAGAATGGGTATATCTTATAACTATTCAAAGTAATGTAAATCTGTCTATGTAGCTCTAAGTAAAGCAGGATCAAATAGGTGTATGGCCTGGGAAGTCCACAGCAGACCCCAGATAAAATAGAATCATGATCAGGAAAACTGACAGTGGAAAACATAAAAGATTAGTTTGCTTCTCCCCTATTATGATAGTCTCTGATAGCACCTAAATGTAAGTAACTGAGCGCACAGTTCTACCCTGATAAAATTCAGGGCATAAGTATCAAAGAGTAAACAAAACCGGCTTGAATAAACCTATATAGTGTAAAGTATATAAGATCTAAAGTAGATATTTAGTAAAAGTATGCAAGTTAGTTGACTCTTCTAGTGCTGAAGAAACAGTGCATATGTGCTTACGGCACTGCAGGAAAAAGTATGCATGCTCACATATACCATTTCTTTATTAGATATCCAAGCATGAATACACGTGCCCAAGGCATCATGGGACAGTAATGACGGAATGCCGAAATAGCTTTTACTGAGGCGAATAAATAAGGAACACAAGTACATAGGAAAAATAGGTTAACTAAATACAAGGAAGGGATTCATGTAAATCATGTAAATGTGTCATATTATCAAATTATACATGATTCTCTTCCCTGTGTTTATCTAATCTATTTATTATTTTTTTAGTGTAGATATGTGAGTCACTCTACATTTGTAAAAATATAGGACATGTATATGTATATATATATATATATATATATATATATTTATATATTTTTACATATATGTGTGTGTGTGTATTCTGGATATGTGGGTGTGCACATGTTTTCAAGTGTAGATTGAGGTATGTGTACATTTTTGCTTGTATGTGAATATATATAATTCCAAGGTCCCAGCACTCGTTGTTCCCGGTCTTTCAGCTGCTCCGGTGCTGAATCTCCCACAAAATGTACATAATCCAAGTAGAGAGCACTCTGGAGTCTTTGTAATAAATTCAAACGGTTGCTTTATTTCGCGAAAACAGTGATACAATGTATAGGTCGATGTTTCAGTCTATGCAGACTTTATTCAAGACAATTGTTACAGTGTAATAGTGGCAATTAAATACAAAGCAGAAAAGATCTGATTGGAGGCTGAGTGAGGCAAATACGAAATTAGGTGATGTCAGAGATGATGTAAAACAGGTGTAGAGTACATAAAATGTGAGATTAAACCTGTGTATATACAAAGAGATAGAGTAATACTACATTGAAGGAAAACATAGGATATATACAAAATATGTATTATATTATTATATGGATTAAATAAAAGTTAAATTGTATTTGAAAATTACTACAAAGACCTTGGAGTGTGGTCCTTTCTGCCATACATATATGACCACAAAATTATATTATATATATATATATATATATATATATATATATGTAAAATATTATTTTGTAATAGTGTGCTTATTTATTGTGACATTTATTTCTCTCTCACCCCTCAACAGCTAAATCTTTATTTGCTTTCTTTTTTCTTTTTTTATGTTATCCCTTCTTTGTTGGAATATTTGATACCCTCTAGGACAGTGTGTGCTTTCTCTTTTTTCTGCATTGATTAGACTTTTGCATACTCTATGCTGTTGTTGCTTTATCCACCAATCATAGTTCAATACTGCATTGCATGCGCCATTTTGTATAATGACCTAAATTTCATACATAGAGAAACGTGTTTTGAAATTCTGGTAATAAATAAGGTCATGGCCAAGTTATCGGGCTATTGTAGCCTCAGTTCCTGACCCCTGATTTGAAATGGGCACAAAGCAATCACAATATAAATGCACAGCTGATTTTCTTTTTATTTATTAGTTTCGAAATTGATTGCTGTTACTACAACATCACTCCACTCAATATGTATCAGAACTAGACTTATGTATTTGGGCCAACCATATTCATACTTTGAAACATTTAAAATAGAAAAAGAGAGACACTTTAATTTAGGGGTGTGAGTGGAAGTGTGGACAGAAATGTTCAGGAACCTACTAATAGCAAAATTGATCACAGGAACCGCACTCACTCCCAGCGGCCACAGGTGCTCTGGAACAGGACCAGCAATCCCAACATCTGGGAATCTTTCTTGCTGCAGGAACCTACTAATAAGAATTTTTGCAACTTAATTTAGAAGAAAAAGAATGCATCTTATTTACACCGACTGATTTCTAAACACATTTGTTGTAGTTTAACCCCTTAACGCCGTTATGGCGTTCTATGCCGTCGCGGCTTTAAAGGGCTTTAAAGCTGTTGCAGGGCATAGAACGCTGTAACGGCTTAAGCCCAGGGGAGGTAAGATTTACTTACCTCCGCTGCGATCCTCTTCTGGAGGGCTGCCTGACAGCCCAGGCAGCCCTCCCCCGGCAAATGAGGCCCCCTATAGCTGGCTGTGGATCTGCCAGCAGGGGGGCTGTCTGAAATATCTGGTGGAAAGTGTAAAAAAAATATATTAAACATGTTAGAAAATAAATGAAAAGTATTTTTATATATATAATATATGTATATCTATTATATATATATATAATATATATATATTATATATATGTAACGTCATACAAAGTATATTTTAATACTAATATTAGTATATATATAATATTAAAATACACTTAGAATGACATTACATATATATAATATGTATATATATTATATATAATAGATTTATACACATATATTATATATATATATATATATATATATATACGTATAATTACAATAATAAATAAATAAAATAATAAAATAAATAAATAAAATATTGAAACAAAATTTTATAAAATTCATAATAATTTATATATTCATATGTAATTTCATTCTAACTGTATTTTGTTATTAATATATATATATATATATTGGTAGCAAAATACACTTAGAATGACATTCTATATATATATCTATCTATATATAAAATACAAATAACCGCAAATATATATAGATACAGATAAATACATATAATTGCATAAAAGATTACATTAGTATACACGTAGAATTTAAATACCTATAAATGCATATATATTAAAATTCTACGTGTATATATTTAAGTAATCTTTTAACATAATTATGTGATTTGATTAATTAAAATTTGATTGACATGCCTGACAACACAGGGAGAAAGTGCAGAGAATTTAATTCGCAAGCACTATATTTGACCCTGTAACTCTCCAAGACACCATAAAACCTGTACATAGGGGGTACTGTTTTACTCGGGAGACTTCGCTGAACTCAAATATTAGTGTTTAAAACTGGTAAATTGTATCCAGGAGGTGGGAGGGTCTGGGAGGGAGGGTCTGCTGCTGATTGGCTGGAATGTGTCTGATGACTGTGAGGTACAGGGTCAAAGTTTACTCAATGATGACGAATAGGGGGCAGACCGAACAGCGCATATGTTCACCGACCGTGGCGAACCGTTCGGCGAACCATTCGGGCAGGGACGTACATACCAGGGTCGCAGGGGTCGCGGCTGCGACCGGGCCCGGCCCACCAGGGGGCCCAGCCGCCCCTGCGACCCGGTATGTACGCCATTGGGCCAGCCTCTTCCCCTGGGGGGCCCAGGAGCCGACCACCCCAGGGCCCCCCGAGGCTGGCCTTGCTGTCACCCGGAAGGCGGGTGGCCGGTCGGGCAGGCGGGCGCGCGAGGGAGCACTCAGTGACGTAATCTTCCGGCGCCGGCATCCCTACGCGGCGAGCGAGGGAGCTGAAGAGGAAGCACTGAGTGCTCCCTCGCGCGCCCGCCTGCCCGACCGGCCACCCACCCAGGAGCCCAGCAGCACCACTGGACCCCAGGGAATCCCCCCAGCACTCCAAAAGGTAAGGAGGCTGGGGGGATTACATAAAAAAAACAAAAAAAAAACATGTTAGTGTTTGAGTGTGTGTGTGTGTGTGTGTGTGTTAGAGTGAGTGTGTGTGTGTGAGTGTTAGAGTGAGTGAGTGTTAGAGTGAGTGAGTGTTAGAGCGTGTGTCTTACTGAGTCTGTTTGATGTCTGTTAGTGAATGTGTGTTTGTCAATGAGAGTGTATGTTTTGTCAGTGAGTGTGTGTGTGTGTATGTATGTCTGTCGCTGAGTGTGTCTCTGTCAGTAAATGTGTGTGTCTGTTAGCTAGTGTGTATGCTTCTGTAAGTGAGAGTATGTGTGTCTTCAGCACTTACCTTTCTCCAGCGCCGGACTCCCTTGGCGCTGGGGATCCCTCAGCCTCTCAGCTCCGAATGAGACCGCGCACGCATTCAAACCACCCATAGGAAAGCATTACTCAATGCTTTCCTATGGATGTTCAGTGTGCTCCTCTAGCGGCTGTCAGTGAGACAGCCACTAGAGGCTGGATTAACCCTCAGTGAAACATAGCAGTTTTTCTGAAACTGCTATGTTTTCAGCT